ATTATTTTTGTTTTATGTTTTACGCAAACGTATAAATGTTATACTTTATTTACATAAAGTATAAATGTTATGATACACATGGAAAACAGAACTACTGCTATGAACTTGTAAAAGTAAGATGACTGAGTGATTTCTAGCACTTCATTTTTATAGAGTTCTTGAATAACGAAGTTATCGTAAATGTTTTTCTTAAAAATAGACTCGTTGTCAGTATAGGAGGCAATCGTATGATTTAATAAAGAGAGTTCGTTACTGCTTAAATCTTCATCTTCAACTATTAGGGAGTACATAGATTCGGATATATTTAATTTTTCAATAGAGTTTTCATCTTTAGTTTCATTTTCATCGAACTTATTACTTTCATCATTGCAAATTTTTTGAGCGCTTTCAAATGTTTGCAAGTTGATGGAAGAATCACTTTCACTAAAATCGACCGAGATTTCATTATCAACTTTCAATTCTTTTAACAAAAAATTATTTTCTTTTTTGAAACATTCATTATTATTTTTGATAAATTCTTCTTGTGTTTCGATAGTGTTTAAGTTGCATTCTCCTTCTTCTTGTTGTTCTTCTTTTTCTTTATTGTTGTTCGTAATGACACAGCAAAAAAATAAATGAAAAAAATCTGAAAATTGTTTATTTACCTTTTTTACTTTTGTACTTTTACTAGTTAGACATTCGTTAATTCCGCTATCAAAAGATAATTGGACTTTTTTGTTTTCATTTTTTTTTTTGTCTCTTTTGGGCAAATAACCCTTAAATAGATTTTTGAATGTTTTAGAAAATGAAGTTTTCGGAAGCACCTCGCTTTTGTCTAAATTAAAAAACTGGAAATTAAGTTCAACAAATTTAGCCGTTCTAAGAAATAAAAACAAGTTATATTTACCTTCAAAAAATATTTCCTCATCAACAACTCTGTTTTCTTCTTTAATTATAGACATTCTTTGAAAATACTTTTCCAATAATTACCGAAGAACTTGATTACTAAATTAAATATATAAATCAAACAAACTATTCAAAATATAAATGACGTCAAATTGTTTCTAAATGAGATTTAAAAAAAAAAAAATTTATATCTTTTTAAATATTACAGCGGATTGTTTAATTAAAGTTAACTCACGTATTTATGTCATATCTCACATATTCAGCAAAATATATCCAGTTTATACGGTGTAATAAAAAAAAATTCATTGACGTACTTTTACGTAGCATTTACGTACGTTTTGGTATAAAATACCAGAAATTTTTAGTTATTGTTGTTAATTAATTTGATTTTAAAAAAAGTTTGCACCTGTCAAGATATAAAAATATATTTGAAAATAATATTAAAGCATTAAATTCAAGACATGAGCTGTGTCAAATTATCTGTATCGGTGTTATTTCTATTGAATATATACTGATGATAAGAAATTATACTTTCAAACATTTTTTACAAATTTGTGTTATTTGTTTTCTTCATGGTCTTTAATAAACGTAAATTAAATACAATATATATGTATTTTTTAAGTAATAAATTCAAATATGAAATTTTGCAAGATGAATAGTCGTCACCAAAATTATGTTTTTGAAATCTTAGATTTTTTATTGCATAGTTTACATAACTTGTATATATTTTTAAATGATAGTAGTAATAGAAAATTAAAAAAACATTTTAAATTGTATAATATAAGTTATTAAAAAAAAAACATTAAAAATAAAAGTCTAACTATCAAAACGCAGAGTAAAAGAAATTGCTCTTTCTTATTCACCCGTCAAATCAGATAAAATCAATTTTATAATCAAAATATTATACAAAAAATCACATACACAAGAAAAAATCACATACACAAGAAAAAATCACATACACAAGAAGCAAGAAGCAAAAAAAGTTTGATTTAAATATTCATTTTTAATATTCAGGTGTTTATCTAAATTAAAATAAATTATTACTATCTGCAACTAATTTTTGTGTTTTCCTGATACGTATTCTCATTGCCTGCATGGATTTTCAGTTTGCAAATATAACAATTTAAAATAAATATTAAAATTAAAAGTTGAAAAATTTCTCATCTGGTCAAGTGACCGTGGCAAGATGACTTATCATGCAATTTTATAAAATTTCAAAAACTACCAATAACTTTAACTAAAGTAACACAAAATAAACACAAGTTGCAAAAAACTACTTGCAAAGAAATTAATCTTGAAAGACACTATCCATTATGAGAAACCTAAACTGAGGAATTTTTTTTTAAGCGAAAAAATTAAACTTATGCGTATAAAAATGCGTTAATAAATTTTTAAAAAACCAAATGGTGTTTTAAAATACAAGATGCAAATATATTTGCAGCAAATTTTTCCAGCAAATTTTTCCAGCAAATTTTTCCAGCAAATTTTCCCAGAAAAATTTTTTCGCTTCCCAGCAAACAATAGACGTCTTTTAGACCGTCTAAAATTGGTCTAATTTTTATCTATTGCCGATACGCATATTTTAGACGTATATTAGAGATCTTAAAGACGTCTGATTCTAAAGATACTATTTTTGCTCTGTTTTAGATGCATATTAGATGCATAAAATAGATCGTGCATAGATAATTTCTTTTTCATCTAAACTTAGATGTCTATAAGATGTCTTTTATAGATTTGTTATAAAAACAAGAAAAATATTTTAACTAATTTTACGGAGCGATAATTATAAATGACCGCCATTAAAAAACCCTGCGGAAACTCAAAAAAAGCATGAAGATTTTAACCTATGGAAGACATCAATGATTATTTCTTTTGATAAATTTTAAATAATAAAATAACATGCTATTATAGTTCACAAAATATTTCGATGATTTGATGCTTAGCATGTTTGCTAAAATCCTTGTGATTTGAAATTTTATTTTGCAGAAATGTTACAAAATTGATATTTTCAGGTTGATTTTTATTTCTAGAATAAAAGATAATGTAATTAATATATATATATATATATATATATATATATATATATATATATATATATATATATATATATATATATATATATATATATATATATATATATATATATATATATATATATATATATATATATATATATATATAGTGTTTTTCAATAACACAAAAGATTGTTTTATTGGATGTGCACTTATCGTTTTTATCGAGGAACCAAAATTCATTTATGTCTTTTACAAAAAGGGCATACGAAAAGAGAGGCAGTAGACGTGTCCAAAAAGAATTTTCATCAGTACATATAGAAAAAAAAATCGAATGTTGGAACTTCTAAAAGAAATGATTTCTTATCTTGCGAAAATCTAAAATAATATTTTGACCATCATTAGTCATCGATTTTGTGCAATGAATACTCTTATGACCAAAAGCCTAATGAGTATAAGCATAACCCAATTTTAAAGGAAAGTTTTTCTGCATGTTTTTCTAACCAAGTAATTATGCACTAAACAAGTGGATTGTCAAAGAATAGCAACAAATTTATTGTCCCAAAAAAAACTATAATCATGCACTGAAAAACAACCTTTCGTCAACAAAAGAATGGCACAAATTTCCATTGATAAAGTGTAAGATAACAGATAGTCAGTATCTAACTTGTTTTGTGTTTTTGGTAAATGTAACTTAATTACTTTTTTGTAGCAAAATGTTTTATAATTAGTTTTATTTTCATGTTGTGAAGAATACAACTTTCTACTTCAGATGAGATATATGTTAAGAAAAGCATTAAAAATAAGAATAACAAATCATACTGCTCTTCATTGCCAGAACCTCCGCCACCTATTATGAATAAGCCCAATGCTAAAAGTATAACACAAATATCATAATTTTTTTTTAATGGTTTATAAACTGAAATAGATTCTTGTTTAATTTGATCTGAATATTATCTATCTAGCTATTAGTCTTTTTTATGTATTACTAAGATTTTCTTTTTATTTTAACTATTTAAGTGTCCTATTATATGTAATGTTGTTAAATTGGTTACATATATTTTTATGATTGACAACATTCTATTGTATTAAATAATCCTTTAATCAACTTGATATGAAAATTGAAAATTGATTGAAGGCATGCTGAAATTGCTTAAATTAAGAAATTTTGAATAGAGTTGTTATCAGATTCAAAAATTGAAGAAGATAATTTTTCTTCACATTTTATTGATGAACAGAATAAAACCAAGCAAAGTTTCAAATTTTAATATGAGTACTTTTGGTTTTTACACCACTGAATGTTAATGTGGAGGTCTTTTTTATTAATTTGTTTTTGTATTAAAATAGTTGTAAAAGATAGGTATAAAAGGTTAGAAATAGATTATTTATAATATTGTGATCCGATAAATCATGTGTGTAGCATTTTACCATTAGTAGTTTATCAAAATTCTTTAATATCGTAACTTTTTACAGGATAAAGTTTTAGCTGATTTAAAAAGTAGGTTTTCCAAAATATTATGGCAACTTCTGCGATGGAGTAATTAAAAAACTTACATGTATTTTTGGAATTTTAGTTTGAGTTACTCAAGCATAATTTGAATTTTAAAGTTCTTATTTCATTGTTTTGCTATTTGGTTTATGAGCTAAATATGTTAATCAATCTTTTTATTCTTGTTTGTAGAGATGCAAAATGTTATTCTCAACGAGCTTGCAGAAATAAAAGTTCTTTTAAAAGAAGTTATAGAAAATAAGTTTCAGGCTACTGGGGTGAAGTTGCTAGAATCAGTGGACGAAGTGGTTACACTGGATAATAAAATAAACGATAAAACCGAGTATACTAACTTGGTAAAATCTAATTATCTTAATTTTTAATAAGTTTGTTTAAATTTGGTTTATTAGTTTAGAATCTAAATGAAAAGTATTTGTAAATGAACTAAAATAACTAGCTTGTGTTAGACTCAATATGTTGTAAAGAAATTTAAGTTACACTAGTTTTTATTACATTTATTTCAGCTTGATAGTTTGAAAAAAATTGGTGGTGGAAAGCCAAGAGAACATGTTTTTTTGATCATGAAAAGGTAAATGATTATGTTTCTATTAATTATTAGAAATATGATTAAAAGGGACCAAAAGCAATTTATTTTGACCGTTATTTGTTATGGATTTACTTTTAACATGACAATTTGATAAACTCGGGAGCTTCACTGTAGGTGTTTAAGTTTGTTTGTGTGCTAAAGTAAGTGTAAGGCTAAACCTTGTTTAGCATTTATTTTCAAATTTAATGCTTTTACTTTTCATAATTTTAAGCATTTATATTTTAAAATATATTTTAATTTATTACATATATTAAAATAAAAATCTTTATAAATATATTTCAGTTTATTGTTAAAATATTTATCAGGTTATTTTCGAATCAGTTACAGTCCAAATTAATTAAAAAAGGAAGTGGGGAAAAGATAACCTTAGAAAATCTAGTAAATATATGGAGTGTTTTACGAGGTTTAGTTTTAATAGTATTTTCAAAACTGATATCTGTATTAAAAAGATATTCTTCGACTTTTTTGTATCATGCTAGAATTTTTGTATCCATAATACAAGTTCCTTTATTTTGTATATATATATATATATATATATATATATATATATATATATATATATATATATATATATATATATATATATATATATATATATATATATATATATATATATATATATATATATATATATATATATATATATATATATACACATGTATATATATGTATATACAGTATCGGACAAAACATTTGCAACTAACATCGAACAATGCTAAAAAGTGTTCCTAATTTTATGTCTTAAAAATAAAACAAACTATACTACCACAGCAAATAGTTCAGGAGTCTGGAGTCATAGCATGCCATGATATGAGCAATCAGCTGACAGGTGACAGCACACAGGCAGAATTTCGTTGACAAGTGCCATTTTGCAGCAAACAAAACAAGCAAAACAAGTGCAACTTTTTTGGTTTGTTTCATTTTCTCAAGTCTGGTCCGTGTCAACGTCACGGAAGTTTTTTAATAATTAAAGAAAGTATCCAGAAGTTTCCAGAAGCATGCAGAAGCTTACAGAAGCTTCCAGCCTTGAGAAGCGTGATTATTTGTTTTTATTATTTTTATGGCTTTAAGTGCAAAAATGATTCCCGGCAGTTTTGGATTGGAACTAAGAGAGAAAATTATTTGCGATTACTTAAGTGGAATGTCACAAAAAAGTATTTGTGATAAATATCGCGTGAAAAAATAGATCGTATCAAGACTATGTTCCAAATATTGTTCCACAGGGAAGTTGGCAGCAGATAACAATGGTGGAAGACCTCGTTCCACCACTTCTAGAGAGAATTCTATGTTCGTCAGATCTGTCAAGAAGGATCCCTGGATATCATCAGTTGAGATACAAAAGCAATTAAAGCTGCCTGTACGTCAAGCGGCCGGAAAACGCCTTGATTTACGTTACTGCCATAAGACCGTGAAACATGGTGGAGGCAATTTAATGGTCTGGGGGTGTTTTTCTGCTAACGGTTTAAGTCCAAAACATGGAATCGATGGAATAATTGACCGTTTCATGTATAAAAATATCCTGAAAGATGTTATGTTACCTCATTCTGAATGGAATATACCAATAAAATGGGTTTTTCAGCAAGACAACGATCCCAAACTTACTGCAAAAGTAGTCAAGCAGTGATTTTAAGACAACCATCTATTGGTAATGGATTGGCCACCTCAATCTCCGGATCTCAACCCTATCGAGAACCTGTGGGAGATTGTCAACCGCAGAGTTAATCATGAATGTGTTCGTAATAAGGATCAACTGTTTGAACAAATCCAAAAGGCCTCGGCAGCGATTCCACAAAGTTTCATTGATCACTTGATCGAATCTATGCCTTAAAGATGCAAGGCTGTGATCAACAACAAAGGATTCACCACAAAATATTGATAGCAAAATACAGCTTGGTCAACATTTTGTGGAGTTGCACTTGTTTTGTCCTGAAGGAAATCAACTTTTTTTAATACTTTTGATTAATTTATTAATTTTCATGTACAAATAATAAACTTTGTGATGAATAAAATTAAAGAACGTTGTCTCTAAACAGTTACATAGTTATTTCTCTAAATTGAAAAAATGCAACATTTTTATACAAAGAAACTATATTAACATCATTTGGTTGCACTGGTTTTTTCCGATACCGTATGTGTGTATATATATATATATATATATATATATATATATATATATATATATATATATATATATATATATATATATATATATATATATATATATATATGTACATAAAAATAGATTCAGAATTCTATGTCTTTTAAAGTCATTTAAATGTCATTAATGTAGGGGAAGTGGGGGCATAACCGCATATGGAGGCACAACAGTTTTTCCACTTCCCCTATATATTTTAGATATCGGCGACGTGGAAGAAAATGTTGACGGCAATGCAGAAATATAGTTTCTTATGTATATTTTTGTGAAATAAAAATTAAGTAATGTTAGTTAAAATGTTTCTTTACTTATTTAATTTAATCTTTTTTTATGACTAATTTAACCGCTGTAACACCTTTGTATCAAACAAGTCCCAGCAAACAAAAAGATATATAAAATGCATCTACTATGCATCTAAGAACTGGTCTAAAAGACGTCTTAATTCACGTCGTGAACGGGACATAAATAGATGTTTATCTTATAGATGTCTTTTAGATGCATTTTATTCGACACAAATAAATGCTTTAGATGCATAAAAGATGTGAAATATACATTTAAAGATGTATATTAGATTTATATTAGATGCATAAAAAAGCTATTATTAGCTAAAAAATTATCTATTATCTATCTTTTTTAAACGCGCCTTAGACATATATTTAAGAGACGTATTTTATACATCTAATATGCATCTGTAAGATGTATATTTCACATCTTTTATGCATCTAAGGCAATTATTTGTGTCGAATAAAATGCATCTAAAAGACGTTTATAAGATAGACGTCTATTTATGTCCCGTTCTAGACCTGAATTTAGACATCTTTTAGACCAGTTTTTAGATGCATATTAGATGCATGTTAAATATCTTTTTGTTTGCTGTATACAGTTTCGTTTTCACTCAATTTTAAGATTTTTTTTTGACTTGTTATATGAAAACCCATCTTGCTCCATTCGCCATGTTGCCACGTTTTCCCCTATATATTTTATAGTTTGTTTCAAATTTCAAACCTTGAATCTGTTGTAACTCGAACTAGGTCAAATATAACTCTAGTTAATATGGTGGTTGTCACCATTATCAAAAAGTTCAATTTCTTCATTATTAAAAAGTTTAATTTCTTAGACCCACCTTTCACCCGTTTTTTTTCGTAACTTGTATTAACAAAAAGATAGAAATAAACATATTTTAAGGAACGATAACATAATTCGGCAACGATTTTCTCAAACTAATTTTGGAAAATTTTTTATTAAATTTCGCAGACCATTTTTATGGAATAGTATACTTAGTATATATATATATATATATATATATATATATATATATATATATATATATATATATATATATATATATATATATATATATATATATATATATATATATATATATATATATATATATATATATATATATATATATATAATATATAATTATATAATATAGTATAATGGTAATACTAAATACGTCTAAAGATATTTCTCAAGAATGTAATTTTGATTCTTTTAAACAAAATCTTAAAAAAGTCATTTTTATAACTAAAAATATACTAATCTACTTTTAAATTTTTGAAAATCTCTTATCTATATTAGTATATGTATTTTATTTAATATATATTCTTTTTTATTTCTTTTTTAATTATTTTATCAACACACAATTATTTAACATGTTTTAGTTTTTAAAATTTGGAACACTTCTATTGTAATATTGTATGTTTATTTTTAATTTAATTTATAATGTTAAATAACTTTTTATTAATTTTGTAATGAAGAAATTGACCAAAATTATATAAATAACAAGAATAGAAACTTTGAAAATAATGATTATAAAAATAAAATAATGATAATAATTAAAAAAAAAAAAAGACTAGTCTTAAAATATATATATATATATATATATATATATATATATATATATATATATATATATATATATATATATATATATATATATATATATATATATATATATATATATATATATATATATAAAAGAAAAAGAAAAAGAAAATAAAAAAAATTGGGTATTATATATTCTTTTTTATTTCTTTTTTAATTATTTTATCAACACACAATTATTTAACATGTTTTAGTTTTTAAAATTTGGAACACTTCTATTGTAATATTGTATGTTTTTCTTTCTTATTTAATATTGTATGTTTTTTTTCTTTCTATTGTAATATTGTATGTTTTTCTTTCTTATTCTTGGGTATTATGCGTATCTGCCAATATATATATGTAGGCTACGTTTGGAGGTGAACCATCCTTTGGCAGTTGCTAGGCGTTTTTGTCGTTAGAAGAGTAAACGGTAATTTATATATTTGGCAGTGGCTTGGCGATTTTGCTGTCAGAAGCGTAAACGGAAACTTGGGAATTTATGTAAACACACAGCAATAACCATCGTATCTAGGTCCTTTTGCACAATCTTTTGAACGATCTGGAAATGTACTTTATTCAGTCTGGAAATGTGATTACATTGATTTTATACAGTAATATATAGTGAATAATATGTAGCAATTAATAAGTTTCAGTGATTATTTTCGACAAACTAAATTCAGTACGCGCAAGAGATTTATTTAGAAAATTAAAAACATTATTATTCGCGTGAGTCAGCTGTTCGGAAGACACAGTAACTTGATTGATGCAATACGTAAACACCGCAACACAGGGAAAAACCATAAATTAAAAAAAAAAAAAGAGCAGTAATACTACTAAAATACAATCTTAAACACTATTTTACTAGAATGCACTACATTTAATTTAAAAACAATTTACATTTTAATTAATATATTACTCACACAAAAATATTTAAGATTTGAACAATATATATATATATATATATATATATATATATATATATATATATATTTATATTTGAATTTGATATATATATATATTTGATATATATATATATTTTTTATTATTTTTTATTATTTTTTATATTTGAATTTGAACAATATATATATTTATATTTGAACAATATATATATATATATATATATATATATATATATATATATATATATATATATATATATATATATATATATATATATATATATATATATATATATATATATATTATATATATATATATATATATATATATATATATATATATATATATATATATATATATATATATATATATATATATATATATATATATATATATATATATATATATATATATATATTAAGTTGATTAAGGTGCCCCAAGCAGTTCTTACGGTCTTATCACAGAGCACCCCGGAAGAGCATTTATTGGGAAGTTCACGCCTCCTTCCCAACCGATGTCGCAAAACTTGCACAGAGGTGGGGTTTGATCCAGGGATCTTATGTTTCTGAGGCAAGTGCGCTACCACTGCGCCACGGGTTTGTTATGAAGTTATTGTGTTATATGATAATTCCATAGCATGTTATGAACTCATAATATATATTTAAAAAATCAATAATTGCTGAAAAAACTTTCTTGTCGGGCTTTTTAAGTCTTTTAATTAAGAAGTCACCGATATATTGTAAAACAATGTTTTAAAATTATCCCGCGAGAACTGAACAACAAATTATTACGTCACCCGCAGATAAATGAAGTAAACCCGAGACTGGCTTAAGCAACCTGAGCGGGTCAATAATAATTTTTACTCACGCTTTACGTGAATAAATCACTTCAAGAGTTTTGCTCAAATTTTTATTCATGTAAAGTAAAGCAATTTACTCCGTAATTGCTCAGCTTTACGTGAACAAAAACTTAATCAAAATTGGTGAGGTTTTTATTCACGTAATGCCGACTAGTTACTGGAAAATAGCAATCGCTCATTTTAGTTCACCCAGCCTATTGAATATAATTTAAAAATACTAAATTCAAGAAATATAGATGGTATAAAAAAGTATACACATCTTAAGAAACCTTTGTATCTTAACAATCAGCTTATCTAGGATATATAAAAGATAATGTATTTTAAATGATAAAGTTACATCTGTGCAAGTTATCTAATGCAAATAACATTTAATTGCTTTTACATTAAATATAATGATTTGTTTTAGGAATATTGTTTCTGTTGTTAAGTCATGTTAGAAATTATTTAACTTCTTTAATTGTGATAAAGTCATTAAAAATCCTAAAATTACCTATGCTTAAAATATAAAACAGAAAATGATCCATTGTGCTAACAAGTTGGTTAATTAAAAAAAATTATTTAAAGGACTTAATAGTCATGACATATATTTATGGAACATTACTCAAGTTTTTTATTCCAGACAACTTTTTTTAAAATATACAGCACCACATGCTGTATGCCATAATTGCAAATAAAGTCTTCGAGATTGGACAAAAGGAAAAAGAAACTATTTACCTTTTAAAGTCCTTGTGGTGCGGAGAGAATCACTAATCTAAATTGACGACTTCTATATTTGTTTTGTCAATATCTCTGATATTCGAAAAATAAAGCCGCAAAAAATAGCTTATCACAACATTCCTTTTACTATTAAACCCATTCAGCCTTATGAAAAGATTCCAATTCCAACTTTTAAAGGCTTGTTTTGTTCAAATGATGAACAATGCATGTCTTTTACACAAACGGAAGAACTTATACCAGATTTGGAAGACTACTCTAATGCAAAACGTTTAAAATTGTCTAAGTGTTTTAGTCAGATAGAACTGAATGACTTAATGCGTGATTTAGGATTTAGGACTGCAAGTACCAGAACTATTCGCATCTCGGTTAAAAAAGAAAAACTTTTTGACAGCATTGCAAAAGTTTCCTACTTTAGAGCAGTAGCGTAGCGACAAAAATTGACCCCCCCCCCCGCAAAAATTTAATCCGGGCCCCTAAACTACTTCTTTTCTATTCCCTTCCCCCCCCCCCCACCTTGCCTTTACCTTCCTGTGTAAAATATATGTTTTGTATGTATGTTAAATGATACGCATGTTATTTATTGTACTGACACTTTTTTTTTAATTTTTTCTTTGTTGCCTTGGGCTTTTAATAACTCTGGGCCTCCCCGCGGCTGCGGGCCCTTCGCTACGCTACTGCTTTAGAGCAAGAGAGAAAACATTGGTTCTCTTTTTTTGATAAATCCATTTATCTGTTTTCTGTAATGATATTTCAAGCCTCCTAATAAAGTAAAGACTGCATGCAATCCAACAGAAGACTGTTTATCAATAACTCAAAGCCTCAAACGTCTTTTGTAAAATTGGTAATATTTTTTGTTCTGTACCAATCGGCCATTCTGTTTATTTACAAGAGACTTACTATTACATTAAAATGGTGCTTAACTTAACTAATTATCGAGAATACAACTGGTTTA